ACCACCGCCCCACCCCACCCTCCCACTACCTGCCACCTCCTTCAGCTAGAAATCACAACAGTTTAACAACACCGAGGCTGTAAGGCTATAAGTCAGTTTTGCATTTTCATGGATTGCTAACTCTTCTTTCAACTCCCAGGTCAGGGCCTCTCTGACAACTCACCTAAGAAGGTAAGCACAGCCAGTTTCACTGGCTCATTTTCTCATGCATATACCTCTATAGAGAATGGGTACTCTTGAAGACACAAATGCAATCAAATTTGAGTCAGAGTTCCTCAATGCAGCAACAAACAAGGATGTAGTGGTTAACTACTCCCATTGGGTCTACCTCATGCAAGAACGTGGGTTCTGGAGTATCCCCATCCTGTGTTTGAATCTTCGAGTGACTCTTAGTAGCTCTGTGACCTTGAGCAAGTAACTTAACCTCTTTGATCCTCAGCTTTGTCATCTGTAATATGGGCATGCTGCCTACTTCAGAAAGAAGTTGAAGGAATGAAATGAGATGACACATGCAAAGCACAGTGCCTAATATAAGGAAGGTAGCAGGTCATTCTCCCTCCTCTATCTTCAATCTGACCCTGCTCTTCCTGTCAACAGATAATGTCTAATCCAATGGGTCTGAGGTCTTAGTTCCTTTAGTTTATAATAATTTTACTGAGCTTCTCTCAAAGCAGCACTGTAATGAAGAAACAAAACATGTCATCTCCCTGCAAAATGAAACCTTCCAGTCACTTCCCTTCAAAGTGTAAACATATCCTGACTTCCAATGCATTAGTTTTGCCTGTTTATGCTCTTATTTTGAAAAACACAGTATATCCTCATATTTATCTTGTTTCTTTCATTCAAAATGGTTTTGTGAGATTCATCCATATTGTTGTATGCATTTGTAGCTGTTCATTCTCATTGCTGTATCATCCTCTTCCATTGTATGAATACATAATCTGTCTCTTCTAATGACCATTCAAAGGATGTCAGTATGCAGGAATAATGGGTAATAAAAGCCCTTCTGCAAAGCTAGAAGTTTCAAAGTGGTGAGAGCAGGTGGTGCCGAATCACACCAGGCAAGGTGAGGGCCTGACCTATGACACTGACTTAATTGATCACTTCTCATGCCTTTCAGATGGATGAAATTACATATTCTTCCCTGAACTTCAATGGCCAGGAATCAAAGAAGCCAACTCATGTCTCTCCGTCCCCAACAGCCACAGAAACGCTTTATTCAGAAGTAAAAAAGAAGTAATGCAACCAGCTCTGCTCACTGCACTGCTGACTGATTCCCAGCTTCTCATCTCCATCACTAGGAGACCCCTTTGCCCTCGGGGGCGCGGGGGGAGGGGAGGAGGGGAGAAGAAGCCTCTTTTCCCCTCCTCCTTTACTCACTCATGAGACACCTCCAGGTTCCCGGTCACAGCCCCTCCCTTCAGTGTCAACAGATGAAAAGGCACATCCGGGAGTCTGTAGGAAGCTCAATATCCTTGTCATTGAACTTTGGCAAAGCAGACCTTGGGAGAGAGTTGCCAGAACCTCCAGCCCTTCCCCATTCCCTGACCTAGACTTGTTCTAAACTTACCTATTGAGCCCACCTTCATTCCTTCCTGTTGGAGTCTAACTTGAATTTGCCATAACTTTGAGAGTTACATCCTTATCCACTGAAATACATGTGTCAGAGAAGAAGAGAAAAACTAAAAGCTTCTCTCCAAAGCCCAGGGTGAACGGACCACACAGGAAAATAAATATATAAGCAAGTCTCAACACGGAAATTCTATACCTTTGTCCATTGTCAGGGTGTCTAAACACTTTTCTGCTTGTCTAGAATACCACCTAAGCCCTTTGGCAAGACTGTCTTCAGAGAAACCACTAGAAGCAACTAGGAAAACTATAGGTGATTCCCAAGGGAAAATGAATGTAAAAAAAAAGCACATATGTTTTAATAACTTTATTGGCTTTTATTCAAGGATATGCCTACAGAGGAAAAAGGTTACAGTTTTAGAGGATACTCTGCTCCCAATAAGAAACAGTCTAGCCGTGGCTGGTGTTGCTCAGTGATTAGAGCATTGGCCCACGGAACTAAGGGTCTCAGATTTGATTCCTAGTTAAGGGCCTGTACCTGGGTTGCAGGTTGGATTCCTGGCCCCAGTTACATTCATACAGGAGGCAACCAATCAATGTGTTCCTCTAGTGTAGGTGTTTCTCTTCTCTAATTCTCCCCCTCCCTACCTTCCTTTCACTCTCTAAAAATTAACGGAAAAAATATCCTCGGGTGAGGATTAACAAAAAAACAAACAATCTGCTAGGAATTTCAGAAACGATTCAGAGTTACCCTTCAGAGATGATTTAAATAATTATTAAAGAATGCACAATTTGGGGTACTGGGTTTGTTCCCGTCTCTGAGACATTTCACCATTTTAATCTTTGTAACTCCTTATGCGAAAGGGGTTAATTTTACTTAGCTTTGCTTTATAAGCCAATCTGAGGACCTTAAGTGAAAGAAGCCACCTATGCCCCTCCCTTGACCAGGAGCTCCTCAATATTTTATGTCAGTGGCTCCAAGTGGAAAAGAAGACCCAGTTTCTCTCATTCATGGCTGGAGGTGGATCTAAGTCAGTTTCTGGGCATCTTAAGCCAATCATCAGCCACCATTTGAGTCCACGTTTCTGCCAGTGCAAGTTCTATCCATCTTCCCCACTTACTGTCTCAGGAAACCTGGGCCTCTGCTAAGGTGTATTTGGTCCTTGAGAAGTGGTAGCCCTGAAAGGAACACTGTCACTCTCACTGTTGCCATTGTTTACAACCCGGAAAGCTGCACTGGTGCTGACGCTCCTTAGGACACAGGGGGGGATCATAACTGGGCCCCAGGCTCTGGAATTTTTCTCCCATGGGGTCTGAGTCCCATTGTGTCAGAATAAAAAAGGGCAAGGGAAGGAGAGGCAAACTATTGCCCACCCAGCCTTCCACACGGATGACTTTCTTTGGGGCTGTTGAGAGAAATAATTTATTCGATATTGATTACTGGATCTCATACTGTGTCTAAGAGACCCCCCAGAGAGGGTTAGTTGGGAGTTCTCTGTACTCAGGTACCTCTTTCAGGGTTTTCTGACCCTGACACAGACTGTAAATACTTCCCTTCATCTGTGCTATTCTCTGTTATTTAATTTTGTCTGGCTAAGGCCACTTCTGAATTATTTGTAAAATTTGCTCTATATTTATAATAAAAATTATATATCAGACATCAATATGCTGCCTCACAGTTGATAATGCTTTAGACAATGTCTTCTTTACAGGCAGAAGAAATAGAAATTACCTAACTGGTAGTCAAAGCCTATTTCTAAGTCTACAGATATTCTACCTAGTAATCAGAGAAGTAGCTAATTTTATTTGCACACCAGCTAACAAAGTGAGTCTATCAAGAAGCAACAGCCCACAGCTGCAAACTGCCTGGAAGAAACTGCTTATTTTGCTCTGGGAAAGATGATTTCATGAGTGAAAAATTCCCAGCCTCTTCATTAGGGACAAATAACACTCCCCACACCAGTGGCTCCAGTGAATCAGATGCAGCAACAGGACTTCACTCACATGAAGTCTCCATGGGTTCTGTCCTGTAGAAATCTCTGACACTATCTTCCTGTCCCAAGGTCAGTTTTTCTGCTACCTCACAGGGTCAGAGATCTTCGCACCCGAATAACCTTCATTAATTCCAGTATTAGCCTGTTATCTCATTTCCTTCATTCCAAGAGATTGAAATGTATGCTGTCTTTCCCTTTCCTCATCACCAAGTTTCTCCTCCATCCTCAGTATCCACATCTTGACCAGACTCAAAGATGTTTTCACCGTCCTCACATTGCTCACTTGTATAACCTCTAAGACCATAGACAACTTTTTCCTCCTTGGGTGTCCTCCTCCTGTTCCCCCCACACACCAGAATTAGTACTCAGACCCTGCTATCTCCCCCCACACCATCCTCCCCTTCCCCCAGCTTCAGTGACCTCTGTGCAGATGGCTCCCACATCTGTATCTCTAGCCCCTACTGCTTCCCAGTACTCAGCACACTCATATCCAAATGCCTTCTGAAGTTACTTCCCATTTAAACTGGCTTTCCCCCACAGCTCATTCATTTGTCACAGTGACACCACTGTTCCTCAGCTCTTGCTTTTTGTCTCCCAGATTCCAGACATCATCAAAGCCTGTTGATTCTTTTTGAACATCTTTCATTTGTGCCCATTCCTCCATTCCCATAAACCTAAATAGCCCAGGCTCTCAGCAACTCCAATGGGAGTACAGCTTGACTTTTTGTCTCTGGTCTTTAATGGACTCTGCCTTGCACAACACTCATTAACTTCCTAAAAACTGGTTCACTCTCCTACTCAAGAGTCTATTATGGCCTGCCCTGGCCTACCAAGTCAGTTCAAATTTCTTTCTTCCTCATTCTCTTTACCACTTCTCTCTAGTATAATTCCTCCATTCTAATTAGATCTGTCTCCTTATCCATCCTGGCCCCTTAACCCCATACACACATATAATTCTTAGTCCCAATGCTGTGTCTGAAAACAAATACCACACAGGGCAATGATCCATCTGTTATTCACAGAGGAGTTAACACACCAGTCATCAAGAGCAACAATGACCCCACGGAGGACAGGAACCTGTCGCATTAAAGTGTGTACCTGAGACTCGGGACACAGCCTATCTCTTCCTAATGACCACAGACTCTTCCTAATGACCAATTTATGTGCCCATGAAATTCTTATGGAGCACCAACTGTGCTACAAGTCTCAGTGTTAGATCCCATGAAAGAGACAGAAATGAGAAAGGCAGGGTTCCTACCTCAAGGAACATGAATCCTAAGGCAAGAGATAAGACATGAAAAATTATCCTATATAATAAAAGCCTAATATGCTAAGTGTCCAGTCATCTGGTCGGCCATTCAACCAATCAAAGCGTAATATGCTAATGATATGCTAAGGCCGCTCAACCGCTCACTATAACATGCACTGACCACCAGGGGGCAGAAGCTCCAACCGGTAGGTTAGCTTGCTGCTGGGGTCCGCCGATCGGAACTGAGCAAGACAGGCCGGACATGCCCTGGGGCCCTCCCGTAGTCCCTCTCCAGCTAGCCAACCTCCCATGTCCCTCCCTGGCCCCGATCATACACCAGTGGGGTCCCTCGGCCTGGCCTGCGCCCTCTCGCAATCCAGGCGGAGGGACCCACCCCCTGAGTGCACAAATTTCATGCACTGGAACTCTAGTTATAATATAAAAATAGAAAAAGATAAATGCCACAAAAGAAGACAGAGATAAATCCATTGGGAAACATGGCTATTCATCAGAATGATTGGAGAATTCTAGAAACAACTGATACTCAGTCCTTACCCACAGATTTCAATTCAATTAATGTGAGGTGGAACCCAGGCATTGCTTTTTTTTAAAAGCTTCCCAGATACTTTTAACATGTAGCCAAGGATGGAGAACCTCTGCTATCATAGGTAGGACTTGAGCTTAAAAGCAATGGTAAAAACCAAGAGTATAAATCAGAATTATCTTAGGAAACTTTTTCAACCATCCTTGAAGAAGCTGATACAGTATGTCTGGAATAAGACAGGCTTGTATATTTTGAGAAACTCCCAGATGATTCTTACATATATTCCATGTTAGGAAACACTGGCATAAAACATAGGAAGGATTGAAAAACTGGTGAGTTGGGAAAACATTCCACAAGATAAGCATAACATGAATAATACATTCTACAAGGCGTCGAGAAGAACTCAAAAAAGTTATTGGCATATAGCTAAACTTTAAAAGACTGCTGAAACCGGTTTGGCTCAGTGGATAGAGCGTCGGCAGAAGAACTCAAAAAAGTTATTGGCATATAGCTAAACTTTAAAAGACTGATAACACCAAGTGTTGTGAGGATGTGAAACAACCGGTATTCTTATATATTCTTGGTGGAAATATAAAAAGAAACAAGCACTCTGGAAAAGAGTTTGGCATTTTCTTATAATGTTAACTATATAGTCCAGCAATTCCACTTCCAGGTATTTACCTAAGAGAGATGAAAATAATGTAGCTATCCATATAAGGAGTTATAAAGGAAGAAAGAAAAATGGAAAGGAAGAGAGGGAAGGAAAAAATTATGAGATAATTACAGAAATCTGAACATTGAATATTTTATAATATTTAGGAAGTATTAATTTGTAGTGTGATAATGGCATTGTGCTTATGTCTTTTTATATAACTTTTTAAATTTATTTGAGAGAGAGAGAGAGAGACATCAATGTGAGAGAGAAACATTGATTGGTTGCCTCCCACACGTGCCCCAAGCAGGGATCGAATCCACAACCCTTTGGTGTATGGGACAACACTACAACCAACCGAGCAACACTGGCCAGGGCTCTGGTTATGTGTTTTTTTTAAAGCCTTAATAAGTTAGTAATACAACTGAAATGCAGGAGTGAGCAAAAGCAGTTTTATAGTTGTTCATATGGAAAATAATACAATTATTAATACACAACCCTTTGGTGTATGGGACAACACTACAACCAACCAAGCAACACTGGTCAGGGCTGTGGTTATGTTTTTTTTAAACCCTTAATAAGTTAGTAATACAACTGAAATACAGGAGTGAGCAATTGTATTATTTATATGGAAAATAATACAATTATTAATATAAGCGAGTATGTGCTTCACATACTCACAACTGTAAACCTACTATTGTCCACCCCTGTATTAACAGATGAAATGATCTTATGTCTGGGATTTGCTTTAGAACAATCCAATTGGGGGAAGGTGTTGTAGATGAAACAAGATTGACTATGAAATAATTGCTGAAGCTGTGTGATGAACACTTTTAAGTTCATTATTTTATTAGCTTTATCTTTGCAACTATTTAAAATTTTACCAAAAAAAGA